CGACGACGACGACGACGACGACGACGACGACGACGACGACGACGACGACGACGACGACGACGACTACTACTACTACTACTACTACTACTACTACGGCGCCTAGTTTTCGGGCCGCTGCTTGGATCGAGGTCGGGGAGCCTTCCTGTGGCCAAGGTTCGCCGTGGCCAGAAGAGCCTCTTCGTTTCCTCTTTGGCACCCTAGTGGCAGCACGATGGCTGTAGCATGTCGCGCCGCCGGTTCTGGCCCACCACGCCTAGGCGCCACTCGCTGGCCACGTTCCAGTCCCCAAGCGTCAACGTCAGGAACCTGTCTCGCGCCCCCGCGTGCGGGGCATAGCGCGTCGCCAGGGGCAGCCGACGCAACACGCTGAGCAAAAGGTTCAGGACCGCATGTTCGGAGCAGGGACAAGCCCCCCGCTTCCTCGTCTTTCGAGGTTCGAGGGTGTCTTACGTTTTCGTAGGCTCCCAGAAAGGTTTTCCAGCCCACTGATGCTTTCCAGAAGCTGCGCCTCGCCAAGGGCGCTCTGCAGACGCCCAGATCATCCCGTGCGTCCGCTCGAGACCCGAGCTCTTGCCCGACAGCCGGATCTCGTTTCGTCGCGAAAACATTGCGGTCGATGTTCGGCCGTTTTCGACATTTACGGGCACTCATTGGGGCCTGGCACCGTTGGAGAACGGCTCGGGGCGAAAAGTCAGCCCTGGGGAAAGGTTCGGGGCTCCGGGGGGAGCCCATTTTGAAACAACACACCGTCGGATGCCCAGGAATCCACCCTGATCCCCATTGGTCGGCTTGTATTGGCTGGTCGTTAGCGTTTATCAAACTGCCTTGTTAGATGTTTCTTGTCTCAGGTGCGTTATCTATGGAGGGCTTCGCTTGCAGGGGTGCTAATTATGAGGACGGTTAGTCTGGCATCCACGCGGGGGAGTAGTATCGGGAGCAGCCAGGGGGTGTTTGCATCGGGAACAAGCTAAACAGGAGGTGTTTGCATCGAGCTGCTTGGAGGATGGAGATCTTGAGCACCAAATTTCTCGAAGTATCGATGCATTTGTCCCAGGGCTCTTGAACGAGGCGAGGTTGGAGGATCGAGGCTTTCGGCGCTTCTCTTGGCACTCGAGGGGCATGTTTCGTTGTCTCTGCAACGGTCGCTACCCGGGCCAACCCCCCTTTCTCCCTCTCCGGGGTAGCAGTAACGATCGTACATAGGAGAGGGGGGGGGAGTGCCGGACCGCCCCTCCCCCCACATGCTGGTGCTCGCGAGTATCCTACGGCGATCGCAGCGCACCCCCGCTCCGACGTGCCCCACACAGCCCCAAGGGTTGCCGTTATCTGGGCCCCCCCCCTACAGTCGGCCCGCATAGCAAGGATGAGCAGTTTGCCGAGGTTACGCATCGGAGGCCTGGCGGTTGACACCAACTCCAGTATCGGCAGTGTGCTTCACCGAAGGATGGCGATCCCGATCTCAGTGATGATGGTAGTATTCGGAGCTTCCTAGGTGGCCGAAAGATTACCACCAACACCCAAATCTGGGATCCTCTTCCCCTGGTGGGGGCAACCCCCTGTGTTGGTGTTGGTGCCCATTTCCAAGCATCACATACCCTTGCATCCCTCCTCTTCGGCCCATCCTGGGCCGCTTTCGCTGGCCGCGTCCCGCTCGGAAAGTGCTGGCATGGCCTTCCAGGGCCCTTGCATCCTTCTCGTGCCTCCTTCTTATACGGGTTGACTCTACCCTCCCCTGGTTAACGACCGTGACCAGAACAGTGATGAAGCAGCGTCTTGTTGAGGCCTCCAGAGCCCTCACGCTGACCTCACGGGGCCCCAGAGGACCTCCGGAGGCCTCGCAAGGGGGATGGATGGGGCGCTGCGTCATGGGGGGTCCGATGAACGGGGAGGTGAAGAATGTGCACCTTTCGTTCTGGTTTCCCCGGGCCTAGAAAGTGCACGAACGGTGCACGTGTCATCCCCCCCTCCACAAGCGAAGCCCAAGCGAAGAGTGGGGATGAGGAGGATGAGGAGGAAAAGGAGGCAGAAGCGGAGGCGGAGGAGGATGGAGAGGAGGAGGAGGAGGAGGAGGAGGAAAGGAGGCCGAGGAGGAGGAGGAGGAGGAGGAGGATATGAGGAGGAGGAGGAGGAGGAGGAGGAGGAGGAGGATATGAGGAGGAGGAGGAGGAGGAGGAGGAGGGCTCAGGGGCAGGGTCACTTGCGGGTTGCCAGAGCAGCACTTGAGCCCGCGACCCGGGCCAGTGCCAGGGCCAGAGCCGAGGGGGCAGAAGTGCAGACCGAGCGTGGCAGCACGGCACGGGTCGGCAAGATGCTGCCGTCCACCATCCAGAGGCCCGAAGCTCCGAGAAGATTGGAGCAGCCAGCTTTGGGCCAGTTTCGGCCCCCTGGGGACCCTCGCGCGGGCCTCGGGGCCGTCAACAAAACGAGGCAGGATGACAAGCCGACAAGCCGGTCTCGGGGAAGTTGTCCGGAAGAGAAGACTTTGGGGGGCCCACGCATCGGACAAGAGTGGAGCGCCAGATGTCCAGGCATATGCGTCGTTGTGCGCGCGGCGTGCTCAGCATTTTGCGGCTTCGGCAGGCGCACCAGGCGCCGCATCGGGGGCCACGACCAAGCTGTCGCGGGCTCTTTGTCGGTGCCGGTCTTGGACATGGTCCATGTCAGCCGCCGCCGATCCGCGGGAAGGACGCCGACCAAGACGGGCGCTGACCAATACCGACACGACGCGTCCACGCTCAGTCTTGGTCGTGGTCTCCATTTTCTTCCCCTCCACGCATGGCCACGTGCGACGAGGGCGCACCAGGCGCAGCATCGGGGGCCCGCATCTGGTGGCTCAAAGATGGGGTCCCGATGGGATGGGGTCCTGAGGACGAGGTGCCTCAACCAATGCAATGCCACCCTTGGATACCTTCCTATCCTCAGGGCCCCATCACTCAGGACCCCATCCCTCAGGACCCCATCCCTCAGGACCCCATTCCTCAGGACCCCGCCATCCCTCAGGACCCCATCTCAAGACCCCATCCCAACAGTGTAGGTCCTGAGTGCCCCATCCCTCAGGACCCCATCTCATGACCCCATCCCAACAGAGCAGGCCCTCACGACCCCATCTTAGGACCCCATCCCAACAGTGTAGGTCCTCAGGACTGCATCCCTCAGGGCCCCATCTTTGAGCCACTGGCGCATGGCCACATGCGACGAGGGCGCTTCGTTTCTGGAGCACTGGGCCCGGTGCCACGCGGCGGAGAGCACCGGCGAGGCCCCGCGGCGAGGAGGTGGCGCTGGCCAGGCCGCCCCAGGGGACTCCGCGACGGGCCGCCCAGACCCCCGGCGTCGTGATCCTGTCAGGGCGTGGGTCGGAGGATCGGAGGATGCTGAGCCCATACGGAGGAGGTCCATACGGAGTGCTCGGTCTCCGTATGGGCTTACTGTACTCCGTCTGGGCCTAGCCTCTTCTGATAGGAGGCTGGGTCCGTGCGGACTGGGTCCAGACGGAGTGCTCGGTCTCCGACTGGGATTGCTCCTTCTGGGCTGAGCGTCTCCTGGGGAGGAGAACAAGGTACCGATGCCGCTACCCTTCCCACGTTCTCCTCTTTTTGGGCATACTGGGAGACCCTCGTCGCCACCGCTGGACTCGCCTCGAAGTTCTGGCCAGAACGCACCCCGGGAGAGGTCCAGGGAGAAGCGGTATCAGTACCTTTTGGTTTCACCAGTCTGGACTGCTTCCTGGGACTGGCTTAGTTCTGGCCTGCCAGATGGGGTCCGAGCAGATGCGGCTCTATGTGGAGCCTCATTTTCGCCACGCCGACGGCGGCTATGCATCGCCGACGCTGCCGATCGCCGCTGCATCGCCGATGCAGCGGCCATGCATTGGCGAGGCGCCCCCAGAGGTCCGGACCGCTTCCCGGGGTCCGGCTTATATACGGCCTGGGATGTTTGGATTGCGTGCAGTTCCGCCAGTTCTGGCCCTCCCCGCTTTGAAACGACACGCTATTCGCTTCGCGGCCCCCATGCGTCAATGTCCCGAGCCTTTCCCGACCTCCCGCCCCGCGGAGCGGTTCGACACGCGATCCATTTGCAAGGCGTAGCGCGTTGCCGGGGCCGCCGTGGCGACACGCTATGCAGAAGTTCCCGACCGTCTGTCTAGACCTTCCAGATCGGGTCCGAGTAGATGGGGTCGACGGATCGCGCCGCACCGACGACGCATCGGCGATGCGGCTCGATGTCGAGCCCGGTGTTCGCCGCGCCGACGGCGGCGGCGATGCATCGCCGACGTCGCCGATGCATCGGCGGTGGATGGGCGATGCGGCGCGATCCTCCAACCCCATCTTCTCGGACCCCATTTGGGAGGCTTCCACTGGTGGATTCTCATCCCGAGTCGGTATTCGACGGTCCTGGGGCCTGGCAAGGGCCCCCAGGGGCCGAACATGGCGAAACGAGTGTCCCGTCGTGAGTTCTTCGCGACGCGAAGAGGTCCGGGTTTCGGGCCATGGCTTTTCGGGACGATGCGGGCCCTCGGCGCTCGGCGAGGCGCAGCGGTTTGAGAGGATCCGGCGGCTGCAAAACCAGCGGGGACCCGCGAGAAAGCCAAAACACCTCGAGCCTCGGCCGACGACAAGGCCCCGAAAACCTTCTAAGCCAGTGGGGGCAGCGCAGGTGGGTGGAGGGGAGGCGGCGGAGCAGGTGTAATATTACTTGCAGTAGTTGCTGCGTGGATGCAATAGTTCAGGGTCTGGACGGAATCGTTACGCGTGGATGTAATCGTGTATTCTCTCAAACGGGATATTTGACGCCCCCTGCAATAATTCGTGCTCCCCAGCAAGAACTCGCGCAAGAGTTCGCGCAAGAGTTCACGTAAGCGAGCGACTTGAGGACACCCCCACTCCGTGCCCAGTGGCACAGTGGCGGAGGGCCCGAAGACGGGCCAAGACGGCCCCAAGCGGCCTCCAATACGGCCCAAGAGTGCCCCGAGACGCCAACAACTTGTTCCAAGACGCCCAGGATGGCCTCAAGTTGGCCCAGGAGGCCTCACAGGCGCCCCAAAAGGCTCCCAAAAGGCTTCTTCAGTGGCCAGAGGGCCCCAAGAGGTACAAATCAGTGATCCCCTTAAGATGTTTGAGTGATGTTTGCCCTCGCGCCTTTTCGGCTTTCCGACGCTCCAGGACGGCCCAAGAGGCCCCGAAGACCACCCCAAAACTGCCACGGAGGCATCGAAGGGAGCCCCGAGACGGCCCAAGAGGACCCCAAGACGGCCCAAGAGGCACCCGAGACTGCCCAAGAGGGCCCCAAGACGGCCCAAGAGGCGCCCAAGAGAGGGAACACGAACCGAAAATCTGAGCCATCCGCCCCAAGAGGCCCCCAGGCCCCAAGAGGCGCCCAGGAGGCCCCACAGATGCCCCAAGAGGCCCCCAAGAGGCCCAAAAGAGTCCCCAGGAAGTTTCAAAACGGCCCCCAAGAGGCATCCGAACTGCCTCCAAGAGGTCCCCGACAGGCCTCCCATGAGACCACAAGCCACATCCAGCAGGCTGCGTGCCCACAACCCAGGCAAGGTGGCGGGCTGGACCGAAGGCCATTCGAGTCGCGCAGGAGTCCGCGCCGCCCCGCCAGTGGCGTTGTCCCCTCCGCTCCAGCCCAGCAGAACGCCTCCCGCCCTGCTGCGTTCGCGACCCGCGGGGGTCTGGGCACGTGGCTCCCTGCCGCCCGCGGACGCCGAGGAAGCATGGGGCACAAAAGCCGTGCCACAAACACACGAGCGCGAGGGTCCGCGAGGACTTCTCGGATCGGCGCTGGACCTCCCTCCCTGGCGCGCGGAGCATCGCGGAGCGCGCCAGGGGCGGCGCCGGAGGCGCCGCCAGAGGGCCCCAGCGCCGATCCGAGGACCCCGCAAGGACCTATAAGGACCTCCGAGAGGTTATGCTCATGTCGCTGCTCAGTATCCTTTAACCGACCCTTATCCCCATCCCCGTCCCCCCCTATCCAGACCTCCACCATCTCAGCAACCCAGTTGAGAATATACACACCCCTCGGAGCCCGAAGGAAACAGCCTAACTCCCCATCTGGGGGGGTTGGAGCCCAGGCCACGCCCATGGGGATGGGGTCGGTCAAACGATGCTCATATGTCGCCGCGCCGCTTGTTCCGACGCGCGCCCTGGCGTCTTGGAGAGGGCCCCATGGCCACCAGGGCAATCGCCGCCTCGGGCGCGGTAGGTTTGACGTGGCGTTTGCCGCAGTACCCAGCTTCGTCTGCTTGGGGTGCGGGACGCAGGGTTTGCCGTAGTCGACTACACGCCAGAGTGACCCTTCGCCGGAGTGACCTTTGGCGCGGGCTTGCGGGGGCCCCCCGATCGCCGAACGCGATGCAGCAGTCGCGCTTTGCGCGTACCAACGTTCACTCTTGCCCAGGGTCACTCTTGCGTGGAGCCGACGCAGGTTCGCCGTCGAGGACAAACGGCGCGGCGACACACACACACACACACACACACACATACATACATACATACATACATACATACATACATACATACATACATACATACATACATACATACATACATACATATATATATATATACTTGTGCTGTCTCTTCCTCCGCCGCCGGTCAGTCTGCGCTCTCCGCTGCCCGGACCGCCTCGAGCGCGCGTGCGGCCTGCCTCCCCACCCCCGACGTCATATGATTTTTGCACGACGCGACGTCATATGATTTTTGAGGAGGAGGAGGAGGACGACGAGGATGAGGAGGAAGAGGAGGAGGGCCCCCAACCGCCTACTCCTCCTCCGCCCTCCACTCCTCCCTCGTCCTCCTCTCTCTTCGCCCCCGTCGAGCAAATTGTTTTTGCACGACGACGCATATGATTTTTGCACGATATGAGGCCCGGACCCACTCCCCTCAGGCGATCGCAAGCATGGAGTAAGGGGGCGTGGATTACAGTGGGGGCGCGCATCAAGAAACCATCTATTTTCCGTCAGGGTACCCTGGGTTTCTTCGCTCCGCGCGATGCGCGGTAACTTCCCGCGGCCGTTGAAGGAGCTGCTGCGTTCGGGGTGCTCTGGGTTTCCCCTCAGTTGCACCTCGCGCGCGGGTTTGCAGGGGTGGGTCTATTGCAAGGGTTTCTTGCGACCGCGCCCGCACTGCAGCGACGGGTTTCGTTTCCAGGGGAAATCGCGAATTTCCGCCGCCGAGCGAGGCGGCACCGGCCGCACCTTGGGGAGGGCACCTAAGGCGGCACCGGCCGCACCTTGGGGAGGGCACCTCCCCCGATCCATGGATTTGGCGGCCGCGCGCCAGATCCATGGATCGCTGCTCCATGTTTGCGCGCCCCCGATCCCTAGGGCCGGTTCTTCCTCCTGGATCCTTTCTCCTGGATCGTTTTGTTGACGGTCCCGAGGCCCGGCGAGGGCCCCCATGGAGGCCGAAAACAGCGAAACGCCTCCCGTCGTGACTTGTGCATCGGGGGGGTCTGGGTCTGCCGCGCTGCGGCGAAAAGTCACGCCCGGATCCCTGGACGTCATCTTCCCGCGTCATTCTCGAGCCGCATCGATACGTGAGGGTCCCGGGGCCCGAAAGAGGGGGACAACGCCCAGTGTGAAGAAAATATCAACGCCAGGATCTCAGGGTCTGCCGCGCTGCGGCGTGAAAAGTCGCTGCCTGCTCCCCCGGAGGAAGGCGTTGTTTTACGGTTTGAGAACATGCACGGTTTTTCACACTGAGAACATTTTGGGGTTCTAAGCCCCGACGTGCGACGTCCTGCTTTTTTCAATACGCGGTCCTCGGAAGTCCCGACCCTTTCCCCGGGACAGGTTTCCCATCCCGAGTCGTTGTTTGACGGTCCCGGGACCGGGCGAGGGCCTCCATGAGGCCGAACGCGGCGAAAAACCTTCGCCCCGAATTTTTTGCAGCGCGATCGTGTCTGGGAGGGGAGCACGTCGTGGCAGGCCCATGGGAATGCCGGGGCGGTCGGCCCCGGTCCCCGCTCAGAGGAGGGGCGCCGCAGGGGCGGGCCTGTTGGCCTGCGGGGCGGCGCTCGCCGTGGTCGCCCTCGGCGCGTGGGGCCGGCGGCGGGACGGCGTGCGGGCCAGCCGGGCCGGCGCGGCCCTCGGGGCGCTCGTCCGGGAGCCTCGAGACGGGGGGTCAAGGCGGGCCCCGGCACGATCGCGCCGTTCGAAAATCAGGGTGAAGGTTTGGGGCTATTTCCGGCCCCGGGGGGCCCTCGCGCCGGGCCCTGGCACCGTCAACAGAACGATTCAGGAAGGGAAAGCGGTCGACCCTGGGGAACGGGTCGAGGCTTCCGGGGACGCCGTCTTGAAAAAATCTGGACGTCGCATGTCTGGGAATGCAAACGGGGGTCAGCCAGAGCGCCCGATCTTGCAGGATCCTGCGAAGCCGGGGTCGCACTGACCCGGGCTTGGGTGCAGGATCCTGCAGGATCTTACAGGATCCTTCGCATTGACCCGGGCTTGGGTGCAGGATCCTGCAGGATCTTGCAAGGCCTGGCTGACCAAGGTCTGGATTGATCCGGGTCAGAAGATCGATCCCCGACTCGTCCGGGAGCAGAGCCGCACGAACGAGATCGCAGACCCCCTCGCGTTGTGACAAAAATCACGACGGGGAGTTTTTCACATTTTTCGGCCTCTGGCCGTCAAAACACGACTCTGGATGAAACACCGGTCCTGGGGAGAGGGTCTAGACCTCTGCAGGGGTAAGATCGGCACAAACGAAATCAATAACACGTAATTAACCCTGAGATCCTGGCGCTACAATTTTCTTACAACGGGCGTTTTCGCACAATTTCGGGCCCGGAACCCTCACAGATCGATCCGGCTTGAAAAGAAAATGACGCCGAAGGATGACGTCCAGGGCTCCAAGCGCGATTTGTCGCGATGTTGAACTTTTTCCGCAACGTCGGATCTCAGGGACCCTCGGCCGGAGCGACCTTTGGTGCGGGCCCACTGGGATCTCTCGATCGCCGAACGCAGTGCTGTAATTTGTAACGTCTTGCGCGCATGTGTTTGGTCCCCGCGCGGCCTCCAAAAGGCCGCACATCAAAGGTAACTCTTGCCCAGGGTCACTCTTGCGTGTAGTCGCCGGAACGGCTGCGGATAAAATTGGCGCGATACCCAGGAGCAGTCACTGCTCATTTTGAACAGGACTCGTTGTTCTCGCCGCCGCGGGCTTTGTCCATTCGAGACAGAAGGGAGTCTTGAGAAGGAGAAGGAGGAGGAGGAGGAGAAGGAGGAGGGGGAGGAGGAGGCCAGGAGGATGAGCAGGAGGCCAGGAGGAGGAGGAGGAGGAGGAGGAGGAGGAGGAGGAGGAGGAGGAGGAGGGCAGGAGGGTAGTAGGACAGGCGCAGAGGAGGAGGGACGGGACCGATTGCCGCTTCTTCAGCTCGCCCTCCTCCTGGGCAGGAGGAGGCGGTGCCGCCTGCCGTGTCGCACGCCTGCCCGGGGAGCGTGGACGTGCGGGGTTTCGGCAGCGTGTCCGTCGTCGCCGCGCAGTTCCACGCCCCAGGCGTCCCCGGGGCCCAGGTCCAGGGGACGAGAACCGAGGGCGCCCTCCCCAGATCCCCTCGCGTTGTGGCAAAGTCCAAAATCGCGACGCGCTATTTTCGGCCTCCAGGGGCCGTTGCAGGGCCTCGGGACCGTCGAACGTCGACTCAGGATGAAGAACCAGTTCCGGAAAAAGGGTCCAGATCTCTAAGAGTCAACGTTGTGAAAAAACACGACGTCGGGGGTCTGGGTCGAAGGCGCGAAGTTATTCGCGTGCTTCGCGGTTCGGCCCCGATGCCTCCTCGTCCTCCCTTTCTCCCCTAGGGGGCGGCGCGAGAGCGCGAAGTCATTCGCGCCTCGCGCTACTATGTTTTTCAATCCGGGCGTTCTCCTTCGGTTTCTCGTCGGCGAGCCCGGGGCGGCAGTGAGAAGGGGCGGGCCTTATCGGAAGGCTAGGCAGCCCCTCAGCCTTCAGAGAGGTGTCCTACGCCTTCCCCGAAGACGCAGGAAACTTCCTACGCCTTCCCCGAAGTCACAGGCAGCTGCCTGCGCCTTCCCCGAAGACACAGGAAGCTTCTCAGAAGGCGCGAGGGATTCTGAGAAGTCCCGCCGCCTTCTGAGAGGACGCCCCCTCCTTCTCCCTTTTCCCCCCTCCTCCTCTCCCCGAGATTCTGTCTCCAGAGGCCGCCATCGGGCCCCCCGAGGCCATCAGAAACGGACCCGGGGGGACGATAAACGATCCTCCTGCTCCTCCTCCTCCTCCTCCTTCCCCTCGGGATGGCGCTCGGGATGGCGCCGTCGCGGGAGGAGCTCGTGGACAAGGTGAGGCTGGTCGGGCTTGCGGCCGGGCTTATGTGCACGCGTGCGTGCGCGCGGACCAGTAGAACAGGTCACCCACTCTCCCCGATCCTCTACCCCTCCAGGCGCCACCCCGCCCTTCGGCGGCCCCGATGGCGGCGGCGTCGCGCCCGCCCATCCTGCCGCGCCGCGCAGAGGATTGCCCCACGCGCGCCCGGGGGGCCCCATGAGGCCGGCCGCCCATGGCATTCCCGCCCCGGCCAGCTGTCCCGCGGCCAACGCCATCGCCATCGGGCCGAACGGCGTCGGCCACTTCGCCGGCGGCGGCGACGGCCCCGCCGCCCAGGGCATGGCCAGTGGGACTGGCGCCGCCTGCGGGGTGCCTGCCTTCGGCGCACCCCCCGACGCCTTGCGCGTCGCGCCGTCGAACTCCTCACGGCCGGATTGACGGGGACCAAGGCTGGCCGGGGCCTTCGCCAGGTGCGCCGCCCCCCCGCCGTGAGAGGCGGCACGGCGGTCCTCGCGGCTCGGCGAGGGGCCGCGGCGGCGGCCCACGGAGCGCGGGCGGCGCCGATCGCGGCTGCCGCTGCGGCGTCGGTCCCTGCGGCGGCGGTCCCGGCTCTCGCTGGACGCCCTCGGCGTGCGGGAACGGGTCTCCGGCTGGCGCGCCCTCGCCGCTGCGCTACTGCTGCGGTCGCGGGCGTCGGTGCTGCACCGAGTCTGGCCTGAGCCCGGGCACTGCGTTAGAAGGGGGGAAACGACACCATCGCGGCGGCGACGGGGCAGACGCGCGACGAGCTGCGAAGGGCGGGAGCGGACAAGGGCGGGGGGGGAAGAGCAGGCGATGCAGGTCGAGGATTCGGGCGGGAGCGCGGTCGGCGAGGGGGCAGTGGGCGAACGAAAATGCGGAACGAGAGGAGGCCGGCCAGGCGTGGGACGGGGGGGGCGACCCGAGCCCCGCGGGGAGCGCCTGGCCCCCGACCGGGGCCCTGGGCCGGCCGAAGCCCGCGTCACTTGCGAAGCACTTCACGGGCGAAGCGTTCGGCGCGTCACCCCGTCGCCGCGGCCATGGCCGCGCGCGCCCCCGCGCCAGTCCCGAAGCCGACCGCGCCGTTGACGACGCCGCCGTCGCCCCCGGCCGTTGGCGCGGGCGGCGCCCCTCCACCTGGGCATTTGGTCGAGGCCCCGCCAGGAGCAGTGGTGGCCCCGGGCGCGCGCGCCCCCATGTGCCCGCCGCCGGGGGCCCCCGTGGGCAGCGCGGTGCGCTGGGCGGGGGCGCCGCAAACGCCGCCCGCGGCGCCCCCGGCGCCGGCCGCGCCCACCGCGACGCCGGGCGGCGCCGCGCAGCACGGGGCGGCGGCCGCCGACGCGGCAGACCGCACCGGGGCACCGCCGCCCGCCATGCAGCCGCCCCCCGGTCACCGCGCGGCGGGCGGCTCGCAGCCGCCGTTGGCGTTGCGCCCGCCCCCAGGCTGGGCGGGGCCGGCGGCCGCCCCCGAGGAGGATTTGTGCGGAGGTGCTGTGGTCGCGCGGGAGGCGGCACCTGCCGCCGCCGCCGCCCGGGGCGGGGCGGGCGCGCCGGCGGCGGCCCCCGCCGTGACGGGCGACGCGGAGCCTGACGACGACGGCGTGGAAGAGCTCGTCGCGGCCGTCCGCGCTGACATCGAGCTGATCGAGATCGCGGGCTACACGCTGCAGCAGGCCCTGGACAGGTTCCTGACCACGCTGACTGGGGCGCCCCTGGCCCCCCCCGAGGCCGGCCACCCCCCGGCTGGTGCGCCCGGGGGCGCGCCCGCGGCGGCTCCGGCGGAGGCTGCGGAGGATGCGCGCGCCATGGCCCGCGACCTGGTCACGCGGCTGTCCAGCGCGGCGGCGGGCGTCAAACCGGCCATCCCGGGCTCGTCGGTGAGCTTCGACGTCCAGTTCAAGCTCGCCGTCCCGGACGCGAGAACGGTGGCGGAGAGGCTGCGGGACTTCCACGGGCCCGCCGGGCCGCCCATCCCGGTGCAGATCCTCGAGGAGGAGGCGGGCCGCCCCTGGCGCCGCCAGGCGGCATCCGCCTGGAGCGCGGAGAAGGGCGGGGACAGCCGCCTCCTGGTTTTGCGCCTCCGCATCCCGTGCCGGTCTTCGTTGAAGAAGAACACGGGGGCTTCCGTGCAGTGGTCGCCGACCACGAACCAGGTCGTCGTGAAGGCCGTCAAGCTCAACATCACCGAGTACGCCGCGCGCTGGGTGGCAGCGTTCGGGCCCGTGAACCAGGTGAGCCCGTCGCCGGGCTCGTTCATCCCAACGGCGGCGGCGCCGCCGCCGGGCCAGCCGTCCGTGGCTGCCTGGCTGCAGCGGGGGGCAGCGGCGGCGAGGCGCCTGGGGGCGGACGCCGTAGGCCCGGCCGCTTAGCGGCCGAGGCGGCCGCCCCGCCCACCAGCGCGTGGCGCCGCCGTCGCGGGGCCTTGGCTTGGGCCAGGCTCACGGCGTGGGGATGCGGCGCCACGGGGCCCGGCGCGCCCCTCCGGCCAGATGGGCGCGGAGGTGGCGTGGGCCGTGGCGACTTGTCTAACTCGAGTTCGTGCAGTGCAGGGTGCGCATCGCCGCCGTCGGCCGGCGCGGGTCGTGCAAGGCGCCGGGGGAGCCGGAGCTTGGGCCAGGCTCATGGCGGCGCGGCGTGCCCGCTGGCCCGGCGGCGCGTCGCGCGGCGGGCGCTCTCTGCTGCCGGGGGCCGCAGGGGTGGTGAGCCAAGGCTTGGGCCGGGCTGACCGGGCGGCGCGGCGGTGACGGGGGGCGCCCGTGGGGCGACGCGGGGGCGCAGTGCGCGGACGCGGCACTCGGAGAAACGGTGACGCTCCGCCTGCCCCCCGCCTTGCCCCGCCATCTCGCCCCTGCGCTCCCCCGCCCCGGCCTCCTCTTCCGCGCCTCGTCGCCGGCGCCCTGGCCCGGGCTCTCCGGGTCGCTGCCGCCGGGAGAGGCTGGGGGGGATCCTGGCGAGAGCACCCCGCGCGGTCGCCAGCCGCGCCCTGGGACGTCGGCACTTCCTGACCGCGCGTGGCACCCCGCGCCAGGTAGCCCCCGGTCGCCCCCGTCGGCGCCGAGCGGGGCTCGGACCTGGGGGGGGGGGCGGCGGCCCGGCCCCCTCACTGCCTGACGGGAGGTGCAGGACTTGACTGGCGAGGCCACGCGGGCGCCGGGGAGGTGGGCGGTAACCCCAGTGCGGCGCTCCACGCTCCTTGGCGGAGCGGTGGGCGCATCGCGGGGGTCACGGCTGACCCCGGCGGCGCGTGGCCTGGCTGCCCCGCGTCCGGGGGCCGCTGGGGGGCCGGCGCGCTGGGGGGGAGGCCGAGGGCGCCACCGCCCGCGCGGCGCGTGGCCGAGTTCCGGCCAAACTCGGCCACGTGAGGCGCGGACGGGGGCGCTGACGGGGCCGCGGGCCCCAGTGGCTGGTTGCCCTCTCCCCTCCTCCCCCCCCTTGGTTCTTTTCGCGGGGGGCTCGGGGGGATGGCCGTTGGGGGGCCGGCGCGCTGGTGGGAGGGCGCCACCGCCCGCGCGGCGCGTGGACGAGTTCCGGCCGAACTCGGCCACGCGGGGCGCGGACGGGAGCGCTGACGGGGCAGCGGGCCCCAGGGGAGGGCCGCCCACCCCCACCTCCCCTTCCTTTTCCTCTTCTCTTTGGGGGCTCCCGCTGGGGTGCCGGCGCGCGGGGGGGAGGGCGCCGCCGCCGCCCGCCCGGCGCGTGGCCGAGTTCCGGCCGAACTCGGCCACGCGGGGCGCGGACGCTAGCGCCCCGACGGTGCCGCAGAGGATGGTCGCCTCCTCCCCCCCGCCCCTCCCCTCCGCGCTTTCCTTCGCTTGGGGAGCCCGGGGTGGGAGATGGTGCTGTGGGGGGGGGCCGCCCCCCTCGCGGCCACACGGACCCGCGGCTGAGGCGTTGTGGGGGGGCCGGACGCGCCCATCCCACACCCCTTGGCGGACGGGGGCGCCGCGCTCCCCCGTGAAAGGTACCCCCTGGGGCAGCGGCGCCCCCGGCTCCCCAAGGCGCGGGAGCCGAAGGCCCAGGGGGCGGATGTTGTCCCGCGCCGGGGAGTCGCCCGGCCCCTCGGGGACCCCCCGGGGGCCGTCCGGAATAACATAGTCCGAAACATAGTCCCTCCTCCCTCCTCCCTCCTCCCTCCTCCCTCCCCTCTCCTCCCTCCTCCTCTTCCCTCCTTCCTCCTCCCCTCCCCTCTCCTCCTCCTCCTCCTCCTCCTCCTCC